TCAGCAGGTATTAAGCCCTTCCTGTGTGCCATGGTGCCATGTGCTCTTCATTCTGTGGGCCTGGGGACTTCCCCCACCTGCAGTGCTAATGGTATGGCCAACAAAGTGGGGGGGGGGGCGGGTCTGAGACAGATGCTGTTTTTGTCATCTGTAGATATGACTTCATGGAGAGCTAACATGCGTGGCTGGCAGAGACCGCAGCTTTTACCTCCTGAGTGCAAAGGCAGAAGCAGACTGGAGCCTGGAACTATTCACTTGTTTAGGCAATCCTGGCCTCATGAGCTCAGGAAAAGGTTATATAATAGTTACTAGAAGAGTAGCTACTATTCATTAAGTATCTGTTGTATGCCACATAGGTACTGTGCAGAAACCGCTTCACTTGCTTTTCACATGACCTTTTTAAATTAATTAAAAATTATATTAATAAATGAATAAATTAAAATATATACTTTTCACATGACCTTTTTAAATGAATAACTAACATTTATGGAGCATTTACTATGTGACAGCCACTGTTAGAAGATTTTACATGCAGTCAGTACAGCAAAGCCTCAGGACAAACCTATGAGGCATGTCCTGCTATGATCCCCAGTTTACAGATGAGGAAATGGAGGTTCAGAGAGACTTGCTCAAGGTCGCATGACGGGAAGCAACCAACGATTCCAAATCATAAAGCATGTTTTTGCCCACAACTTTAACTTATTTTATTAATGAAAAATCACATTTCTGAGCAGTAAGAAAACCCCCTCTCACACCAAAAATAATCCTGAAGGCTTATCACTTCTTGGATACTTCAACATTCCAATCCAGTATAAGAAAAACCACTCTGTAAATAACTACTAAAGATTTCACATTTTAGATTAATATTAATCTAATATTGGAGCTGATTTCCTAGGTAAATGATGTCCTACTTCAATTAATACATTTCATTCTCATGTTTTAGTTATTTATTATTTTTAATGTTAATTTATTTCTGAGAGAGAAATAGAGAGAGAGAGACAGAGAATCCCAAGCAGGCCCTGCACTATCAGCACAGAGCTCGATGCAGGGTTTGAACTTAGGAACTGTGAGGTCATGACCTGAACCGAAATCAAGAGTCGGGTGCTTAACTGACTGAGTCACCCAGGCGCCTTTCTTCTTATGTTTGTTTGTTTTAGTGTTTATTTATTTTTTTTTTGAGAAAGAGAGACAAAAGTGTGGGCGTGGTAGGGTCAGAGAGAGAGGGAGACACAGAATCTGAAGCAGGTTCCAGGATCTGAGCCGTCAGCACAGAGCCTGATGTGGTGCTCGAACTCACAAACTGAACTCATGAACTAGAAGTCGGAGGCTTAACTGAACTGAGCCACCCAGGCACCTCTCTTCTTATGTTTTTAAAGAAAAAAATAATATTGTTATCATTCTGTGGCCTAAGTTGGGATTTCTTTGACAACAAATAACCTTTTTGCTAGTTTTAATGTTTTTTGTTGTGGGGCAGGTGGTAAAATAATATGTAATGTAAAATTTGCCTTTTTTTCCTTTCTGGCCGTTTAACCATTTTAAAGAGCTTGTTCAGTGGCATTAAGTCCGTTCACGCTGTTGTGCGGCCCCCAGCACGGTCCATCTCTAGAACTCTTTCATGTTCCCAGACTGAAACTCGGTATCTGTGAAACAGTAACTCCCCATTGCCCCCCATCACCATTGTTTTTAGAGGAGATAGACACCTGTATAAAGCTTAATTTTCGTTTCATGAATGAGCACATAATTTTTTAGGGATCTGATATTTGCTAATATAACGGCAAATGCAGAACCTCCTGACAAAGGTGTATAATTTGTAAAAATAGCTGAGTGGGCAGAATTCTGATTTTCAGTTGCCCTAGGCACTCCAGTGCACTTCTGATGATGATTTTCCTTGGGCATGTAGTTATACTGATAGAAATCACATCATCCGTGCATAAAGAACGAGTTTAATTACACATAACTACATACCTAAGATGAGGTTTTACATTTTTTTACATATACTTTCTGATTTACCAAAGATGAGACACTAAATTCTCACTGATATTAAAAAGTAGTGTTTGTCACCCTCAGAGCTTGAGTGTCTTACCGTATGAGTTATGCGCTTTATCTTGCCTTACCCCTCCCCTTTTAGGGAATTGTTTTCCTTAAGGGGATTCCACAGTCTCAGTTGGTCCCTGCTGTGACTCTGTGGACTGGCAACTGCACAAAGACTGATTCAGGGGTTTGGATATAGTCGGTGGTGGAGTAGAGCTAACTGGTCCTATTCAGAATGACACTTTACATCCTCTACTCATCTGTATTGAGCCTAATCATTTGAGCTCAAAATAATAAAGATAAAAAGCAGCCAAAGTGATTTGAATTCCCCAGGCACTGTGGTAAATGCTTTTGCCTGTATTATTTTCTGCAATCTTCACAGTCCTGTGAGATAGGAATCAAACTCCCATTTTATAAATGGGAAAACTGAAGGAAAAGAGGGCGCGTGGATGGCTCAGTCAGTTAAGCATCTGACTCTTGATCTCAGCTCAGGTCATGATCTCGCAGTTTGTGAGATCAAGCCCCGCACTGGGCTCTGCGCTAATAGCGTGAAGCCTGCTTGAGATTCTCTCTCCCCCTCTCTCTCTGCCCCTCCCCATTTGCTCACTCTTTCTCTCTCTCTCTCAAAATAAACATTAAAAAAAAAACACTAAAGGAAGAGAAAGATTATGTAACTTGGCACAGGTGCACAGTTAATAAGTAACAGACTGAGTGTTCACTCCTGGTTCCTAACAACAGGCTTGACAGCAGGCTTCCTGAAAGACAGCCAAGGTTAAACAAACAAACCAACAAACCCCACACTCTAGTCCCTCTCTGGCTGAGTGAGTGGGGGAATCTCAGCCAAGGCCAGGCACTGGGTCTGGAGGTAAAGCCTGACCAACCAGGGAGGGAAATGGGAAAGGCAAGGGTCCCCTCTTCCAATTTGGTACCTGGTTGGTGAGAGGAGATGGGGAGAAGGGACGTCTCTAAGCAGATTTCCAGAGGAGTCAGGTCATTTTTAGTGCCTTGTCTCCAGTCCTGTGCCCCTTTGCTCACGGTTTCATAATTGCTGCATTCTTTTTTTTTTTTTTAAGTTTATTCATTTATTTTTGGGAGAGTGAGAGAAAGCACGAGTGAGGAAGGGGTAGAGAGGGAGAGAAGGTGGGGAGAGAGAGAGAGAGAGAGAGAGAATCCTAGGCAGGCTTTGCACTGTCAGAGTGGAGTCCGACTTGGAGCTCAATCTCATGAACTGTGATATCATGACCTGAGCCAAAGTCAGACGCTCAACCAACTGAGCCACCCAGGCACCCCAGTTGCTGCATCCTCCTAGATGCTGCTCTCCTTTTAGGGAACCACTTCCCCAGAGCACCACTCTCTGATTTACTGTCACCTCCCCACACTTCCATGAGAGGGCTACTTTCCTGAGTGTGACTGGGTTCAGCTGGTTGCTAGGAGAGTGTAGGCTTAAATGGGATGGGCTCTGCAGTGGAAAGGACTGTCTCCCCTCCTCACAAATCCCTAATTCTCCCAGGAACATAGTCATACCTATACTCCTGGAAGAAGTTTTGATGCAAATGACTCCCTAATGGACAGGGTGGAGTGTTGATGCATTCTGCCCCAAATTGAGGAGGCTCCACCGCCTGGGTCCCAGGGATGGGTCCTGGTGATCCAGGAGCTTTCAGAGGCCCTTCAGAGTAGCTCCTGGTCCTGTCCTGTCTGGTTACTCAGGCCCTGGTCCTGTCCACACCCCAGCCGGGCCAGAAACACTCACACATATGCAGCTTAACATGAAGAGAGGTAACACTTCCTGGGAATGTTCCTACCCCAAAAGATGTGTTTGCAGATAGTTTCCAAGATTCTCATGAGCTAAATTCATGTTTCAGGAGCAAGTGCCTTACATTATAGGTGGAGCCTTTGTGGATAATTTTGTGAGCCTTGAGTGTTGTGCCCTCCTCACACCAAGAGGGAGCGTGCTGCACCAACTTATGCTCAAGGTCTCAGTCTGCTTCTGGTCAGGAAACCCTCTAGTATCTCCTATAGAAGCTGGAAGCGCTCACTGCCTTGCACTTGAACACTTGTACTTGAAATTAAATGGAAATTTTTTTCTTATGATTATTTTATTATATTTTTTAATGTTTATTTTTGAGAGAGAAACAGAGTGTGAGCAGGGAAGGAACAGAGAGAGAGAGACACGCACAAAATCCAAAACAGGCTCCAGGCTATGAGCTGTCAGCACAGTCTGATGTGGGGCTCAAACTCATGAGCTGTGAGATCATGACCTAAGCTGAAGGTGGATGCTTCACTGACCGAGCCACTCAGGCAACCCATTTTCTGATGATTTCATACTGAAACATAGTCTTATTTCAAAATGGTGACATAAAGGGGCGCCTGGGTGGCTCAGTCAAGGTTAAGTGTCCGACTTCGGCTCAGGTCATGATCTCACAGTTCGTGGGTTCGAGCCCCGCGTCGGGCTCTGTGCTGACAGCCAGCTCATTCTGTATCTCCCCCTCTCTCTCTGACCCTCCCCTGCTGACGCTGTGTGTGTCTCTCTCTCCGAAAAAAAAAAATTTTCAAAATGGTGACATAAGAGGTGGCGTGCCACTGTAAGCCAGCCCCATTTAGCAGTAGTGACAGTTTGTGGTTGAGCCATAAGAAGGACTCGTTGGGACATGTACAGTTATGTCACAGAAATATTAAAAAATTGAAGGCTAGGTTTAGGACAGGCACCTCCAAGCTACCAACTGAGGCAGCTCAAGAGATTCTCACTCCCCACCACACTCTTGTCCTCTCTCTTGCCCCTTTCCTCCATCACTATTACAGTTTTGGTAGATACCATTCTTAGCCTGCTGTGAAAACCACTTCATTTGGTCAGGTCACCCTGAACCACCCTCTAGATCAGACCATGACCAGAAAAGGAGGTGTTTTCAAATTAAGCTGGGGCAACCAGAATTGGCTTTAGTTTTCTAGTCTTTGTTTCATTTTAATTACAGCCACTTGGAGCCAGTGACTATCTGGAACTAGCGAAGAATTTTGATACGGTATTTTTACGAAACATTCCACAATTTACTCTGGCAAAGAGGACGCAAGCTCGAAGATTCATAACTCTCATTGATAACTTCTATGATTTCAAGGTAAGGATGTAGTTCATTTTCTCAAGACAACATTTTGGACTGTGGAGCCAGCTTGCTTGGGTTGGTATCCTGGCACACTCTCTGTGCCTCAGTGTCCTCCTCTGCAAATTGGGGATAATAGGATTTACCTCAGAGGATTGTTCTTGAGGGCAAAATAAGCTCATCCATGAAAAGCATTTGAAACGATGCTTGGCACAAACCCGATGCTATATAAATAGTGTTAGTAGTAGCATTGTAATACTTCCATCATAAGATACTACGATGTTAATGATTCCATCCTTCACCAAGACATATCATGTGCTCTCTCTGTGATGATGTATAACAGATTGCCTTATCTCGATCGAGTGCTCAGTGAACTCATTTGTTGCACGAATACATGATTGGACTGAAAAAAAAATGAATGAACAAGTGAATGAGTGATTACGGGACCTTCCTCCATATTGGAGTTCTCTCTCCTTAGGACCCACAAACCCCAGTGACTGGCATTGCATCATCTTGTTTGTTTTAACCATGGGTTTCCACATACATGCGTTGTAGAGCCCTTGTCCATTCATTGGAGGCAGTACAACCCACTGATTAAAGATTAGGCCTTGGGGCCAGGCTGTCCATCCTGAGGACCATCTTCATCTCTCGAGCTCCAGTTGCCTGCTAGAAAAGGGGGGTTAATGATGGTTGTTTTGAGGATTAAATGAGCATGTAAGGCAACTCGAATATTGTGTGGCATATGGTAACCTTTCAAGGAAGGTGAGCCACTATCGATAGTATGTATCTGTAAGTAAACATCTGTATATATCTGTAAATAAAGTGTAAGTACAGCTTCAAAATGGAGTTAAGTTTTATTTTTCTGTTAAATAATACTTTTTCTCCTTATTCCTTGTATGGAAATAAATAGCACAGTGATCCTAAAATTGAAGGGATTTGAGGAGAGGAGGAAAGTACCATAATCCACTGGGAGGGAGAGGTGAGATTTTAATGTTTCATTAATTCATTCATTCAGCAACCTTTCTCCTGCCAGGCACAGTGCTGAGTGCTAGAAATTCAATGACAGGCGAAGCCAGGTCCAGTGCCTGCCTTCATAGAGCTTGTAGTCTAGTGGCAGAGAAACACTAATCAGATATCCACAGAACTCAATGTAAAGTCACCACTGAGGGCTGATCTCTTGGAAGGAGGGAGAGGTGTATGTTGCTCTGAGGGTCTGGGGGAGAGAAGACTGATCTTTGGAGGTGGGGGCTGCGGGGTGGACATAAGGAAGTCCTGCTGTGGACCACCTACATCAGATTCCTCTGGGCTACCTAAGACCCGCGTTGCAGAGCCCACCCCGCCCCCAGCCCAGCAAATGAGCCCTAATCCCAGGGCTGGGGGTTCACAAGCTCCTCAACGCTCCTTATAAATGCTGAGAAGCAATGGCTGATCTCCGGTGCAGGTTGAAAAGGGGTCACCAGGGGGCATATTCGCAGCTTGCCGCCTAGGCCCTATGGTGGGCCTGAGCACAAAGGGCAACCAGCCTGTGTCAGGCACAGTGCTGAGAGGACTCTGCCACCGTGAGTGACTTCAGGATGTGCCACACACTCCCACGGGGCCGGCACACACGTGCTCAGGTACTCAGGAGAGGCGGGATCAAGTCCAATGTCTTGTCTCCTAGATCACTTATCCAGACACTCTGTTCTGAAAGAATCATGTGGGGTCCGGCATGAAGGGAGTGAGCCTGGAGGTCGCCCTCTGCCTTTAGAGGGTAATGTTTCAAGAAGAAGGTGGTAGAGGGGCATTAGTAGGTGGTTCTTAGAGTAGGAGGGTTGATAAACTCTTACTTGCTCATGTTTCAGCTAGCAATACCTCAAGGAAAACATACGGCCCCACCCCTCCCCAGTCCTATCTCACCCCCACTGCTTCACTTCTTAGTTAATGGGAAGGAAGGTTTCTGTGGCAATATGATGGTATACCAGAGCCACTCCCCTAACATTTGCTTTAACTATATATCACACGTGTAGAGTTGATATTCTTTTTTTAGGGAATTGTTGAAATTCTCTTATTTCAGAAGTTGGCAGCATTAAACAGACATTATTCTAGAATGTGTTCATGAAAATTTGTGAAATCAGGGTATTCTTGTCTCAATAATGGAAGAAATGTCATTTATGATTAAAAAGAATTTCTAAGAGGAGGTAGAAGACCATCTGGAAATGGAAAAACTAGTCCCAAATGTCAATACATTATTTTAAAGTATTGGAATAGTTGTTTAAATAATGATTTTTTAAAGGATAGCTGTGAATCCTGAAAACAAATTCAGGACTTGTTAACCATCAAGAAGAGTGTATATTATCTTTAAACTGGTGGACATAGAGTTTAGAAAGACATAAAAGCTGTTTCCAATATATAATCACGTATGCACACTCAAACACTTGCATAATCAACAAATATTAATGTCAAGCTTAGTCTTTTTGAAGGATGTCTTGGTGTAGGATGCTGATATAAATGTAGGTTCTAGAAATTCAGGGTGTAATTAGAGTAGCAATGCATTGAACTTAGCAGTCACATCTGCAAGAGGCAACTTTGATGCACACAGAGACGGGCTCCAGCCAGACAGGTGCAAATGTCAACCTCGAGGTGTGATGGAAAGACCACTGGGCTTCGAATTGGGAGACCTGAGCTGGCATCACGAAAGCCTTTGCTCCCTACTTTACAGGATATTGCAGGCTATATGGAACTATTTGGAAAAGTACTATGCAGTTTTAAGATGTCACTTTAAAGAAAGACCAACTATTAGGAAGAATACGGACATTTTAAAAGCAAACATCTAAACTCCCTGTAATGACAAACAGAATTTTACTTCGTGAGAGATTTGCTCTTACTTTCAACTCGCAAAATGTAAGGAGCCATACCATTTCCTCATCCTTCTCTCTTTCAGGTGCGCATAATTTGTTCTGCATCGACTCCTATATCAAGCTTATTTTTGCATCAACATCATGACAGTGAGTTGGAGCATAGCAGAATACTGATGGATGATTTGGGGCTGAGCCAGGTAGGCGATATTAACATAATCTCTTTTGATTATAAAACAGCCTAATTGTTTTGGGTTTTATACATGGCTACATTTTGAAGAAGGAAGGCGATATGTATTTAACTATTGATTTGCTGCTTTCTTCTAAAGCCATTGTAGCAGACTTTTTCTCAATATTACTAAAGTAGAGAATAGAATCTTAGGGTGGTAGGAATCTTCGTGATCATTTTTTGCGCATCATGAAAACAAAGACTAGAGAAGTGGGCCAGTGGTCTCACTGCTGACGGATGGCAGGCAGGCCAGAGCCAGACATCAGGGCACCTGTGTCTGGTGCCAGACTCATTCTGCTACACCATGCTGCCTTTTGTAGATATTCTTTGTGTCTACTGGACTTGTAGGGAGCAAGATACAGTATCCAAGCATGCGGGCTGGCTATTCCAGGACCGCGGAGTGCCTGGCAAGACCCTTGGCTTTCTGACATGTCCTTTCTTTAGAATTTGTAGAAAACTTCCGTCATGCAAAAACTTTCTTCATGCAAAAATGTTCCTATTTGGATTTGGGGGTATTGTTTCAGCTTTAATTATTCTTCTTATGTTTTCCCTATCATTTTCTTCCTGATAATCTGTTCTGTCTATTGACTATTGGCTTAAATTAGTGGATTCTCTAGTCTAAGAGATTGTAGATGGAAAAAAAAGTGTATGGAACATTTTATAATCTGAACCTAAAAAGGTAAACCTAAAAAGTTGTTTTAAACCTGTACTTAGTTCTGTAAATTTTTATTTGTGGTAGTTTTAACTGGTGCTGGGTTATTTTTATTTTGTTTTGTTTTGTTTTGTGTTGTTTTGTGTTTTGATAACCAGGACTCAGCAGAAGGACTCTCCATGTTTACTGGAGAAGAGGAAATCTTTGCGTTTCAGCGCACGATTTCCCGCCTCACAGAAATGCAAACTGAGCAGTACTGGAATGAAGGGGACAGAAGCAAGAAGTAACCGTGGCTTTTTCATGAATAAAACTCTCGACAAATGATTACGGCAGGGAGAACTCTTCATTATGGAACTTGAAGGAATCGTTTTCTCATCACTAATTATGCACTTTGTCCTCTGGACCATTTTTATCTAAAATTGCTCTCAAAGATGTAGTGGATTTGAAAGTTAAAGCCATTTTTATAGGTTTACTTTTTGCCTATTTATTTGGCTTTATTTCTGCACCACAAAATTAAAATCATCACTCCTGAAGATTAATGTAGGACCAGACCTTTTGGCTTCTTCGTATTAAGCCACTTGAATGAACCTTGAACACACACACACACACACACACACACGGTTAAATGTGGTGTCGTTCTGGAAATCTCCGAGCTTTGGCTGCATTTTAGCCGCTATATACGAATGGATCTTTTATGAGAGGGGAGAAAAAAAAAACCCTATATTTCAATTCAAAGACAAGAAACTTTCTGATCTTATTATAAACTAAAGAGAATAACATTTTAGAATATGGGCTTATACATGTGATTTGGGGGGGCCAAGAATGACACAATCTCCTAGGCCTTCCGGTTTCCTCACAACCGAGGATATGTTTTTTACCCTCTATCAAGCTTGGCAGTCAGGACCACATCTTCAGTAAACACGAAGTTGCCTGAAAAAAATTGAGAATGATTATACTATAGGAGCAAGGGTGTCAAATGCTAACCCGCAGGCAGATTCCCCAAGTCTGACTGCCAGTAGGGGGACAGACGCTGGGAATAGGGGCCAGCGAGAAAGTGTCAGGAGGGGACAGAGTCCTGAGCAGACTCCAGCTCATCTGATGCCAGCAGGAGCCCAGTGGACTTGCCCACCACTCACACGCGTTTGCTCTGGCTGTCAAATGCCATGCCCCACCCTCGCCTCTGCTTCTGTGGTGAGAGGGACTTAACCATAAATAGGAAGGAACACTTGAAGAACCTACTTACATAAAATCTGACTTCAATGTCCTTCATTGTCCTGGACTGAGGTCTTTCCTTCATTCATTCAAGTACAACGTGACTTTGCTAACTATTCTCACAGAAGGGATCTTAGTTGAGGCTGTTAATAGACTCTAAATCCCTCTTCAAGAAAAAAAAAAAAAAGAAAGAAAAAGTAAAACTGTGAAATCTATAACATATTGTGAAAATCAAATACTTGGGGGGGAGTAGGCACAGTTCAAATGATTACGGTTGTCAACACAAGTAAGCCCTTTTGAATCTATTGACTTTATAAGTTAGTCTATCCACATGAGTCTATATTGGACATTAATAACTTAGTCAAGCAGATAAATGGATAGGGTACCCAAGTGTATAGAAAAGTTTGAATCAAGCCTTCTGAAAATTAAATGTGGGTTTCAAAACATTAAATTTTTTTTTTTAATTGCAGCATAGTTGTCACACAGTGTTATATTAGTTTCAATTGGACAGGATTCCACAGGTCTGTACATTATGCTGTGCTCACCACAAGTGTAGTTACCATACGTTACCATATAATGACTTAAGAGTACCATTGACTGTATTCCCTATGCTGGACCTTTTATCCCTGTGACTTATTCATTCCATAACCGGAAGCCTATCTCTCCCATTTCCCTTCACCCATTCTGCCCATCCCCCCAACCTCCTCTTCTCTGGAAACCATCAGTTTGTTCTCTGTACTTATGGGTTTGTTTCTGCTGTTTGTTTGGTTTTTTAGATTCCACATGTGAGTGAAATCATCTGATATTTGTCCTTATCTGTCTGACTTTTTCACTAGCATAATACCCTCTAGGTCTACCCGTGTTGTTGCAAATGGAAAGATCTCATATGTCTGTAGGGCTAAGTATAAAATATCTTCATTGAAGTGAAACAAAAAGAGTACAAAAACAGGTCAGATAGGTTAAGAGGGACAAAGGTGGGACATGACCTCACTGTGTGGCAGGTTCATTGCTAGATATTTATATTATTCAGATAAAAAATTTAGCTTAGAGAGTTATATAATCATCCCTGTTTATAGATAAGGAACCAAGGCTTGGAAAGGTTAAATAGCTGGACCTAAGATTCACAACTACAAAACTCACGTACTATGCTTTATACCACGCCACTTCTATAAAAAAGAGATTATTTTTAATACTGATTTAAAAAAATTCAGTGAAGATAAATTTACAACAGAACCATTGCTTTGAACTCTCTAAGTATAAAATGTGTAACTTGTTTCTATCAATCTTAGCTTTTTGCTTTTCACATTTCTTTGGCAATTATACTGTACCTTAATAAAAAGACCATACAAATGGATGGAGACAGACAGATGGCCAGCCTGACTGATAGAGAAACTGTCTCAGAGGGTGTGGGTATGTGAAATAGTTCAGTTGAGGTCAGATATTTGGAATTAGAATTTCGTTTTTCCATGGAAACAATGGATGTGATGTTAGGGCCCTGACTCACTGCACAGAAGCCCACGGAATTCTCAGTGTAACTGCCCCATAATTTTGGTTCTAAAGAACTTAAACTTTTAAATATTGTTTCTGTAGGGCAAATTGTAGTTCAGGTTTCATCTGAGTACCTAGATCATGTCCCCACCTCTGTCCCATCTCCTACGCTCCACCTCCTCCAGGGCCTGATAGGATAGGCCATAGTGAAGGGGCTGTCTGAGCTGGGAGTGGGGGAGAGGAGGGACTTACATGGTGGCTGGAAATGGCCCATCTTTATCCCCATCTACTCTCCACAGAGTCTGTTTCATAAACAGCCTGCAAGAAAAAGAAACAAGTCTTAAATTAGGAATAGCTGTTACAAAAAAAAAAAAAAAAAGTTGTTACCTGGAAACAATATGGTAGTAAAAAAAATTAATGCCAAAGTGAGACATGAAAAACAATCTTTAGATTGGAAAGCAGTGTTTCGATTCATGTGTTTTTCTTGCAAATCCTGCCCCTATTGCATTCTCAACATTCCAGCCTTTCTCCCTGGGCTTGCATGAAATCTCTCAGAGCAAATGTTCTTGGTTTCTCTTTTTTTAATGCTTTAAATTGATCCTTGAAGATGGAGGTTTGACCTGAGAATTGCTGTGGAACCCTCCCACACACCCAGAAACTCAGACCGAGGAAATCTTTATAGTCAGGAAAATACGCAGGGCACCATCTGCAATGATCACTAATTTCCAAACTTAGAAGCAATCAAGGAGAGAAAAATGACAACTTTTCTTTAAAAAAGAGAAAGAAAAATTTGATCATTGCATTTTTCTTGGATTACCTTAGCAGTGGATAGGCTTATTGGCCAGCATCAGTAATAATGAAACGAAAACCATGGTGGGCCTAGAGAATTTTTAACCTATTTCTGATGTTTATAAAATGTCAGACTATAGTACCATTCTAATCCAATATATGCATTTTCAGTGGGATTTCAAATTTTAGTCATAAGGAATACTTGAATCTTCCTGAAGTAGATTTCTTGTACCTACAAATGTACAAATAACATAATATTTGAATTACTTGGAATTCTGAAAAGAATTTAAGATTTCACTTGTAAAATATGCAAGTGGATGTGCTCATAGCCACTTATTTATTTAACATTATGTAAGAAACACATGGTGCTTACTATATGCTGGGCATAGTTCTAATACTTTATCAATAAACTCTTTTGATCCTTAAGAACAATCCTGTGAGATAGGTTATCATTTTACAGATAGGGAAGCTGAGGTACAGAAAATGGTAAAACAATGTACTTAATTGCAATGATGTCCACTGGAGCCACATACTGATTTATTATCTGTCCTGAAACCCAAGTCCAAGTGCTTGAACCTTCACTTGTAGCCCCTTGTCTGGGAAACAAGCACATGAGAGATAGGGGTCCTGGGGCCCTGACACTTGGGTTCCTGACCGATAGCCAGATTTTGTGTGGCAGCAAGTCTGTAACAAGTGATCTTGTGATCTTGTGAATCACCATCATCAGCTCTACTGATGTATAGGCCCTCCCTTGCTGGTCGAGAAAGATTTTCTTTGGAGATTGGGTTTACACCTTTTCTTAAAGCAGAATTAAGATTTATTTTTCCCATTGGCATAGCAGTTCATTTTCCTGGATCACAAAATTAAAAATAATAGGGGTGCCTGGGTTGGCTCCGTCGGTTCTGGATTTCGGCTCAGGTTACAATCTCACGGTTCACGAGTTCAAGCCCCATGTCAGGCTCCTGCTGACTGTGGAGACTGGGATTCTCTCTCTCTCTCTCTCTCTCTCTCTCTCACCCCCCCGTCTCTGCTGCTTCTGCATGTGCTCTCTCTGAAAATAAATAAACTTTAAAAATAATAAAGTCTGTCTTCTTGTTGAATGTCTGCTGCCTCTGTCCCGCTTCGCACTGGAAACTGCCCGTCTGTTACCTCAGCAAATCACTCAGCCCGGCCACACATGTCTACCGATCTGTTGTCTGTGATAACGTCAAAGTCCAAAGGACCTCCGTCTTTCCTGCCTGCCTTGGAAGTCTTCTAGAGGATGTCCTGAGAAGTTTCCTTTCTCAGGCTGTACTTTTTGGGTCCCCAGTGGTTGACTGCTGGTCTCTGTGATGTGCCTGCTCTTCTCATCCAAGTACAGTGGGAAGCGTTCAGGATCTGGTTCTGCTAACTTTTGCTTCGTGACCTTGAACTAGTGCTCTGAGCCTCAGTTTTCTCACCTATTCTCATCTCTTAGTACAGCAATACCCATTTCTTAGAGTTTTTCTGAGAATATTTAGTGAAAAGAACTTTGCAAATGGTAAAGGTTTAAATGAAAAGTAGCTGTTATTGATACTAATAATTAGAATCACAAAGCAACAATAAATGCCTCCTCTGCTTTGCATTCTAGCCCTTAAGGAAACAAAACAATAGATGACATTTCCCAACCCAATACGGTTTCCAGCTGAAGGGAAAGGAGACACATTAAAGGGCTAGACCCAAGGGCATGGAATTCTGGCTTAATGAGATGCTGTGAAGATTGTTAAATTGAAATGTATTCTTTCAGGACCCGAGAGAAAATAGATTGTTGCCTGTTTGGCGATGATGGAAGATTTCCCAGAAAGAGGGCACCATCT